CCCGCCCCCGCCGAAGGATGAGGTAATGTGGGAAGCAGCTGAAGTGAAAGCGCCGCGGCTGCAGAAGCGGCATCTCCAGCCGGGGTGCCCGCGCCGGACGGAGCCATGACCGACCGCTGCAGCCTTTGGAGCGCCTTGTCGGCCGCCGCTTGCTGCTTCTACCGCGGCTCCTTCATGCAAGTGCAGGTGAGGCGGGGAAGGGGCAGGCGTGGGGGGAAACCCCCCCCCCACTGCCCGGCGCAGGGCAATCCAAGGGCTGGAGGGTGGCTTTCTTGCGCGCGCCCCCCACCCCTCCCCGCTTGCCTTGACACAGAATTGGGGAAGGGGCTGCTGCTGCTGCGGATGGATAGATGGGGAAGAGAGGGGCGGGGGTCGCGGGAGCATGCCGCCCTCCTCCAAAGGTCCGCCGGGGCTCGCTTTCTCTTTGTGTTCCTGCAGGAGCCGGCAGCCCCGGAATCCGGAGGAGCCTGGGTGGGGAGGGGGCGTCGCGCCGGACCCGCTGGGTAGGTGGGTGGGCGGCCGGGCGGAGACTTCCATCCCGCGGAGGGGGATTCCCCGCTTCTCAGGCGAGCTGGAAAGGCAGAGAGTAATTTGGGGAAGGGGAGCGGAGTGGAGAAATCGCATCTCCCACCCGTGTTTGGGATCCATGTGGAAGCAGCGCACCTTGGGGAGGGTGGGGGGTGTCTCTCCTTTGGGAGGTAGGGAGGGGGGGCTTTTATTTCTGGATGGGGTGGGGTGAGTTCATTCTTGGAAGGAAGAGGGGAGGGCGCTGAGTCCCTGCCCCTTGGTCAGCATCTTTCGGCATGTGGAAAAAACCCACCCACCCACTGGGTAAAAACCGGCTGCCTTCAGTCATCTCCAGCCTGAAGGGCCCAGACTACATTCCCCATCCTCCCCAGCCAGCGGAGAGGTAATGCTGGAAGAAGGTGGGGTTTTTTCCCCCCTAACCTCAGCCACCTGCTTGGCCTTCCAGAAGGCAAGGGAATGAAAAAAAGTGAGAAGAAGGGGGAAAAGGGGGGGGGTGATTTGGGTTAGAGAAGCAGGTAGGAGGGAAACACACACATATATACCAAAGTACACACACACACACACACACACACACACACACACACACACACACACCGCTCCTCTTACTTCTGGGCAGAAATATGAGGTGGGTGGGGCAGTCCCCCCCCTCCTGTCATCCTGTCTATGGCGGAAGTGTCATCTCTCTCTCTCTTTCTCTCTCTCTCTCTCTTTCTCTCTCTCTCTCTCTCTGGACAAGGTCTGGTTGCAGAGGTCAAAGGTCAGGACTCCAATCTCCCCCACCCCAGGGCAGCCGAGATTGATGCTTACCCCATACACACCCACACCAGCCCCCAGCCCCTTTCTTTCTCCTGGCTGCAGGGGAAGAGGAGAAATTCGCCCTCTGGAAGGATTTACAAGCAGGGACAAGAATCATAAAGGGACAGAAAGAAAAGAGGGGATAGATAGGTGGGACTACAGTTCCCATGTTCACTCAGCGATGGGAGTTGTGGGCCTTGCGTCTTTGGAAGGACTCGAAGCCTGCAAGCTATGAAAGAGAAATCCATCCCTCCATCACATATCCATCCATTCTATCTATCCCACTTATCCATTCTATCACACAGAGATTTGGCGCATGAGCCCCTTAAAAGAGGGGGGGAAAAGAATTAAGACAGTAGACCGATTGGGAAGAACAGAAAAGATTGTGTGAGTTCAACACAGAGGAAACCCCTTTGTGTGTGTGTGTGTGTGTCTGTGTGTGTGTGTGTGTGTGTGTGTGTGTGTGTGTGTGTGTGTGTGTGTCCCAATCCATCATTTGCCTATGATG